TTTTTTCATGTGTTCGACAGTTCCGTTCATAGGCTTGATCATGCTGGGTAGAGACTATCACTCACTCTTCCGACGATGTAGGATTTCTTCTCGGTGGATTAGCTTTGGATGTTCTTTCAGTTATTTATATTTCAGTTGGATTTTCGTTAGGGGTCCACTAGAGATGGATTCCCGAGTTGTTGAAACTGTTGAAGGTTTTGGAAGGATTTTGGATTTTATTAATCTTTAATGATTAAAGGATTTTATTTTTTTAGAGATCTTTTAGCTTTTAATATTTATTCTTAATTCGCTTTGTAATCTGTGTTCATTTAAATATTAATTGTTTGATATTCCCTCGGGTTTGGGCCTGGGCCTGATCAACCCGTGTCTTAGATCCAAGGGGTATCACACTAGCATTGGGCATGAAGTGGGATTAATGTGATTTGAAATGAAAAAAGGGAATTTTGGGGAGAATTTCGGATAAATGGTTTTTGAGAAAACTCAGTCGTCGCGGAGTCACCAAAGGGCCGGTGTGTTAATATAGCCTAGAGGGAACTAGGGACATTGCCCTAGCATGGTTGAGATATCTGGGCCAAAATGACGCTGCAAGGGTACCAAAGGTCAGGGACAGTAGCCAATCCTTCACTCGTGTCGCTGCGGAGTCACCAAATGGCGGATTATATTAACAGTTTGTGAAGTGATGGATTTCCTGGAAAAAAAAAATGGGGAATGACATGCATAACATTGCATTCATGGCATGAAACATAATTGTTTTGAACTGGAATTGATATTGTATTTTTACTCTGCTTTTCATGCCCATTTCCTATTGATTTATTCATTTTTTGGATTCACGGGACTATAAGAGGTGTGTCTTAGGCACCACCAACTGAGCTTTACGCTCACCCCATTATTTAATATTTTTCAGGAATCGGAAAAGAAGTAGTGGATGCTGACCTTCCACAAGCATGAGGATGACTAGGAGTTTATCTTATACCTTTTGTATATTTTCCCATTCTTTTGTAAATCATGGCCATGTAATATAATTAAGACTTTTGACTATATTTTGATGAAAATGGAAACCATGTAATTGTTGTGTTGAATGGGAGAATGTTGATGTATCGTTGGCAAATTTAATGACATCTATTCTTGTATAATGATGAGTGCTTACTGTGAATTCGGAATTTCAGTGCTTAATAGGTTCATTGTGGTTTAGTATGCATTATACTTAATCAGTATGCACTTCCAGTGAGTTTTATCCCAGGATAGCATGTTTCGGCCGGTTGATCCTCACCATCAGCTGACCGAAACTCTAGGTTCGGCCGACTGAACCCCCATCGTCGGTCGACCGAAACGCCTACAGTGAAAGTCTCGAGAGCCTGTAAACTTCATCACCGTCTCGGCCAACCAACCATGTAGGTCAGCCGGTTGATCATGCCTTGACAGCCGGCCGATGAAGGCCTATCAACCGGTTGATCATCCCTTTTGACCTGCATTGTTTGATCACCTTTGTAAGGATGTATTCTAAAGTACTTTGGAAACTCAGATTAATTCCTATGGCTGGCGTGGACATTGGAACTAGGTGGTATGACTCAGTTGACCTCGGGTTAGGGCAAGGACCCAGGTATCGGTCCAGACCCACGGGTTTGGGTCGTTACAAAACTGAAAAATCTGGGTTTTGATTTTTTGAACAATCTGAAATGATATGCCTATATGGGTTTTAAACTTTTGATTCTTGCAGACAGATAGATAAAACTGAAATATATGGGTTTTGAAGTTCTTATTCTTGTAGATTTTGTAGTTTGCAGTTGCACAGAGATAGAGAGAGAGAGACGCGGCAAGTTCAGAGAGAATAGAGATGGAGGCAATTGGGGAGGCTAAAATGATTTACCCTAAAAATAATAAAATATAATATATATATATATATATATATATATATATAATTTGTTTTTTAAGAATAATATAATCAAATATATAATATATATATAAATTTCCAAAACTTTTTTGTTAAAAAAAAAACTCAACCCGTCAACCCGACCCAACCTGTCCGAAAATATTTGGGCTGGATTATAACCATAACTCATGTTGGGTACAATTCGGGCTGGCCCAACCCAACCCGATTCGGGTTGAGGTTGGGTTGGGACTGGGCTAGGTTGGGTTAGCTCAACTTGCAGCCCTACTTTAAATAGGCAATACATCAACTGAACTAGACTGAAAAATAGCAACAAACTCTAGACGACTAACACATGATCTGCGACAATAAAATAAACTAACAAAATGCCTAAAAACCAGGACAACTTGAAAGGCAACTTTGACAAATTCATAACAATAACTATATATATGTGTATTGTATCAATTTTATTTACAGACTCTGATCGATTGCTAGTAAATGGGTTTGGTGTTCTGTTGTTTGTAAATGGGTTTGGTGAGTTCATAATTCTGTGTATCTATATTGTATCAATTTAATGGGTTCATAATTATCTCAAATTGGACTCTGCTCTGTTGCTGGTAAATGGGTTTGGTGAGTTCAAAATTCTCTCTATGTGTATACTGTATCAATTTGATTTTCTGGACTCTGGTCTATTGACTCTATTGTTTATACGTGGGTTGGGATTAAATTATTTGGATGGAAAGTTGAAAATAAACTATTTGGATGGAAGCCTACTGTAACTCCAATAGTAAGACAATAGCCAAAGTATATATATATATATATATATATATATATATATATATACACACACACACACCAGAAAATGAACATATGCAATGCACGTAAAAAAAAATCTATATTGGATAATATTTTTGTAAAATGAATAATTTATTTTGAAATATATATATATATATATATATATATATATAATCAAAATTGAATACACTTTACCATATAAAATATAAAAACTCCTCATGTACTAATTATGTATTGTATATATAATGATTCGTTCGTGAAAGAATTCTATGATAACTAACTGACATTTCAATCAATGATTATACAGGTCAGTTATCTATATATACTTGCACACGTATATTGCATATAAAATACAATATTTCATATATTTTATCCATGTAATTTTTCTGAACAGAACAAATTTAATATTCATGCATATTATTTTCACATCGTAATAAAAAAATTCCAGAATTGAACTATTAGGACATATAAAATATAATAGCTCCTCGTGTACTAATTATGTATGAAACAATATAAATATATATGTGATTAGATAGAAAGATAAAATATATAAATTGTTCTTCAATTCAAATTAAAAGATACCTTTAAAAAAAAAAAATTAAAAGGGTTTTGAGTTGTAATTTGATGTACATGAACCAAAAGACGAGTCTCCTCTCAAAGCTGTTGAAATTGTTTGTAGAAGAAGAAACCTCTAACAAACTTTTTGTGAAGAAATTCTTTTCAAAGAGAGATGGAAAGAAATAGAGAGGAGTGAGATATAGGGTGATATGAAAAGAATTTCTTCACAAAAAGTTTGTTAGAGGTATATTTATATATGGTTGAACAAATAGGTGTTTGCAGTTAAAATGTGACTTTTATAAGAGGTGTTAGTACAGTTAAAAGGTGACTTTTATAAGAGGTGTTAGTAGTTATTTGAAAAGTCACATTTATTTATTAAAATAAATTAAATGATTTAATTTATATAAATAATAAAAGGTGACTTTTAGAAGAGGTGTTAGTAGTTATTTGAGAAGTATATAATATTACTACAAAAAAGTGTTATGAATGTTAGATATATATATATATATATATATATATATATATATATATATTTTATATGGTTGAACAAATAGGTGGTTACAGTTAAAATGTGACTTTTAGAAGAGATGTTAGTGCAGTTAAAAGGTGACTTTTAGAAGATTCATTGAACAAATAGGTGTTTGTAGTTAAAATGTGACTTTTAGGATAGGTGTTAATAGTTAATTGAAAAGTCACATTTATTTATTAAAATAAATTAAATGATTTAATTATATATAAATAATAAAAAGTGACTTTTAGAAGAAGTGTTAGTAGTTTTTTGAGAAGTATATAATATTATTACACAAAAGTGTATATAAAAAATACAAATAGAATACACTTTTATAGGGTAAATAGATAAATAGATATATATATATATATATATATATATATATATATATATATATATATGTATATAACTAAAGGTCATCATACAATTTAGAATTGAAGAACTTGGCACTTGTTGTTAATATTATTATTATTATTATTATTTTACAGGAACATTTTGAGGACTCTATTTTTGCTGCTGATGTTTTCTAATTCCCAGTGAAGCGACTGAAATTTTCCAAATGATATTTAATGTTTTCTCTATATTATACAAGTTCATGAAACTCAAATTATTTTAAATGCAGACGTTTTAATTAGACTATATATTGGTTTAAGTTAAACATGAAGCTCAGTTTTATAAATTGCAGTTAGGAAGTCTTGATCCTTCAGCATAGAATACTCTTAATCCTGTTGCTATCACCCACTATATCTTCTCTCGGTGTTTTAAGAGTCGGCATTTAATTAATCGGTGATACCGGCATGTAATTGATATTAATCTTGTATAAATTTATTTATATGTTTATTATTTGTGTGTGTGTGTGTGTTCTACATACTTGAGCTTTAGAAAATAATGTTTAAAAAATATGTACTTAACAAGCAGTTATCAACATTCAGCTATTGAGATTTAGCTAAAAAGAACGTTCAGTTATTAAAGACATTGTTTACAAGACTTTAGAAGAATATAAATAGTGGATTTAAAATGAAAGATAATCCATATTTTGTGTTTTTTGAAAAAAAAAAGAAAAAAGAAAAAAAGAAAAAAGAAGAAGGTACAAAATGTCAATGATTTTAATAACACATTAAATTCATAAATTGACATTACCCCAAATAATAATAATATAAAATGATTATATATTAGCCTTTTCCTGTGGTCCCAACGAGTGCTTCAACTATTGGTTTCTGGCTTTCTGTGCAATTGTTAATAAGCATTAATACTGGGCTCACTGGTGTCAGTCTCAATTGACATTGTGTGGTTGTCTCAATTAATTTGATTCAGAACTGGCAACAACACAAAGTTTTTGAACTAGACGTGGCAAACGGTGATCATGGAAATCTGAACTGGACTAACTCGATCAACAGTGAATTGGACTAATCCAAATTCATTCAATTCAGACTGTCACGAGTCTCAAGTATAAACTATTGATTTGTGTTCTTTGCTAGATACAAGTTCATATATTATCTCCACAAAACTCATACTCATGGAAAAAGTTTCATTCCTTTTGTCCATTGCACTGTTGATACACTGTTGTTCTATGCTTTGTTTGGCTAGGTCTGACAAAAACTTGAATACAGATCAATCTGCTCTTCTTGCCTTTAGAGCCCACATCACTTCTGACCCTGAAGATGTTTTGGCCAAAAATTGGTCTTCCACTACCTCTGTGTGCAATTGGATTGGTGTGTCTTGTGGTCTCACCCACCAAAGGGTCACAGCCTTGAACCTTTATGATATGGGACTCAAAGGTACCATCACACCACATCTTGGAAATCTCTCCTTTCTCACATCACTTGACTTCAGTCGCAACAATTTCAAGGGCTATATTCCCAAAGAGATTGGCAAACTTTCTAGATTGAAAGTATTAAACCTGAGTTTTAACAAGCTCACGGGCTTCATACCATCTAGAATATTCAACATTTCTTCTTTGGAAATGATTGTTCTTTCAAATAATAGCCTATCTGGAAGCCTGCCGGTAGACATGTGTAGCCATCTTCCTGAACTTGAATTACTCGATCTGGCTCTGAATCAGTTTAACGGGCAAATACCATCCAATTTATACAGATGCAGGAAACTCCAAGTTCTATCATTGTTATTCAATGAATTCAATGGCAGCATACCGAGAGAAATTGGAAATCTGACTATGCTCAAGGAGTTGTATCTTGGGAAAAACAGCTTGGACGGTATAGTGCATTAATTCCAAAGTAAAGTTATCCTTTTTGTAATTGTCTGACTTTGATATGCGTTTGGTATTTGGCTAGCTGATATCACTTTAAATTTATCGACTTATGTATTACCTAATCCACGTCACTTCACTTGTACACACCTAATAGTGTTAATTATGACAAACAAAGATATTAGGCAATTGCTAAATGGCTTGCTGTGTGACGTTGAGGTAATTAAAAGTTTGCAAGGTGGTTGTGATCACAGCAATGAATAATCAATATTGGCTTGACTGACAACAAACACTCGAAGTAAGTGTTAATTTAAACATTGAAAAAAAATTGATGAACTGTTGATACCTCAAGAAAATGCTTTTATAACTCAAAGATATGATATAATCTTGTTGGGTCTCTGTGTGTGTGTGTGTTGGGGTGGGGAGTCGTGCAGAAGCAGAATGCAGACTAGGTCATGTGAGGATGAATATTGATAAACTTGTCCATCTTTTTCTCTTTCTCAAACTTTTCAATCATATTATGAAAAAAAAAATCTAGCCAAGTAGATTTCTTGAGTGCTTTTTCTTTTTCTTTTTAATTTTTTTTTTTTTTTGTATGTGTTTGTGTTACCTAGACAGATTCGGATATACTGACATTAAAAGTAGAAATTTTGAATTGGAACTCAGATTCACATATATCTAGTCTGTTTCATTACCTAGTGGCACGCATCACAGTTTTTTAATCATTAAAAGCAAACTAGTATAACAAGGGATACTTAAAAAAAAAAAGAAAAAGAAACGAGTATAACAAGGGAGGAGTTTATGTCTTGGTTCTGACAATTTTGCAGGTGTAATTCCATCCGAGATAGGTAATCTTCCACATCTCGAAATATTGAGCTTCCAAAGTGACTCTCTAACAGGGTCCATTCCATCTTCAATCTTCAACATTTCTTCTTTGAGGCGTGTTGATTTTTCAAACAACAGACTGTTTGGAAACCTCCCTGTAAGCATCAATAATGATTTCCCTGTTCTTGAAGAGCTTTATCTTTCTAAAAATCAGCTCATTGGTCAATTTCCGTCCAACCTATGGGAATGCAGAGGGCTCCGAGTATTACAATTGGCGTATAATAAATTCACAGGCAGCATATCTAAGAATATTGGAAACCTTACTTTGCTCAAATTTCTAGATTTGTATGGTAACAGTTTTACAGGTAACCCTCATGCATACTTCCACTATTTCTGTCCATTTAAGTCTTGTTGGAAAAAGAAAAACACACACACATTACGTAATTCCACTGCCTTTATAAGTTTGGTTTTAGTAAATGTATCTCATTTACATAATTATTCTTGATTGAGTAATGCAAATGTTCACATTGCTGCGGGTCGCGTAACCCATTAAAACAGAATAATGAACAAAAACCAAAACAAATAAGATCTCTCGATTAACAAAATAAACCCCCAAAAAATATGAATTATAAAAATCAAACCCGAAAATTCTAATATAATAATCCTCAAATACATCAAAAATCCTCCAATATACAAGAATCAAAATACTAAAAAAAAATATATATCTAATTAATCTTTGAACAGACATAAAAATCACGCAACACAGCTCCTCTCTAAACTAGCATCTAGCAATCCTTAAGCACCTTTGGTACATGAAACTAGAAGGTGGTGACACAAAAAGTCCTAATAGAAAAAACCATAACAAAAATTTTATAAAAATTTAACGAATCAGTTTCACAAATATACATATTCATGTGAATGTATAATCAAAATATTTTAAAGCAAAATCACCGTGGCTCAATAATTCAACAACCACCATCATCATTAGTTTCTTTTTATTTCTTTGCCTCCATGTGCACGACCTTTTCACCCATATCAAATACATACACGATAAACTTAAAGAATCCCACTAAAAACAAATACAAAAGACAAAAAGATCACTAACTTAATCAATTACCCATCTCCTTCCTCCAAATTAGGACACGTAACCCATCAAAACAAAATAATGAACAAAAACCGAAATAAATAATCACTCTCAATTAACAAAATAAACCCCAAATAAATCTGTCTAATAAAAATCTAGCCCTGAAAATCCGGATTGTCACAAAAAAATTGGGAAAATATATTTAAAAAAAAAAGAAGCATGGTAAACAAAGATAAGCAGCAATAAAATTATCCCTATTAGGGTAACCTTAAGTGTGTTGAGGTGGCACAATTGCAAGACCCACATCATCTGATTGAGGAAAAAAAAATAGCAATTTTTTTTTTAACCAGAATGCAAGTGCGTGATTATTTTAATATACTCTCATCAGGGTAAAGCTTAATGAATAACAAAATGGTGTTCGTGTTGTGGTAGGTACATTGCCAGAACAGATTGGAAACCTTGATCTTGAGAGATTTGATGTTGGTGAAAACAGCTTAACTGGCCTCATTCCATTCAAAATATTCATTGTGTCAACGATAAAAGTCCTTAGTCTGGGACTTAATCACTTCTCAGGCCATCTTCCTTCAGACATGGGGCTTTGGCTTCCCAGTCTTGAAAAGCTTCATCTGGGCAATAATAATAAACTCAGTGGAGAAATCCCAAGCTCTATCTCCAATGCCTCTAAGCTTACTCTCCTAAGGTTTGGAGGAAACTCATTCAGTGGCTCCATACCATATTCCATTGGTAGTTTAACATTACTACAAGGGCTCCACATTGGTGGATTTTACAAGGGAATCTTCTACTCCAGAATTAAGATTTTTAACTTCCTTGACCAATTGCAGACATTTGGAAGTATTGAGCATAGCATTAAATCAATTTAATGGCATACTTCCGGATTCAATTGGGAATTTGTCTACTTCTCTTTTTATTTTTCAAGCATTTGGATCAAAAATCAAGGGCAGCATTCCTAGTGGAATTGGCAATTTGAGTGGCTTAGGACATCTAAGCATGGATAGCAACGAGTTGACCGGACCTATCCCACCAACAATCGGAAGCTTACAGAATCTCGTACAACTGTATCTTGAACACAATAGGCTACAAGGACCCATTCCAAATGATCTCTGCAAGTTAACCATGCTCAGTGACATTTACGTAAGTGACAATAACCTTTATGGACCGATACCAACATGCTTGGGAGAACTCAAGTCCCTAAATAGACTTTACTTGGACTCCAACAACTTGACTTCCATGATACCTTCAAACTTGTGGAGCCTTAAGGATCTATGGGCTCTAAATTTATCCACAAATTCTCTCAGAGGTAATCTACCATTAGATGTCGCGAATTTGAAGGTCTTGATACAATTAGACTTGTCATGGAACCAGTTATCAGGTGACATCCCTAGCACCATTGGAGGCGCTCAATCATTAGTAAATTTATCCTTGGAGCATAATAAACTACAAGGTCATATTCCTCAATCACTGGGCAACTTAATAAGTTTGGAATTTTTGAATCTATCCAACAACAATTTTTCTGGAGATATTCCCAAGTCCTTCGAGAAGCTCAGGTATCTCCAATATTTGAATGTATCTTTCAATAGACTCTAAGGAGAAATTCCTACTGGAGGACATTTTGTGAACTTTACAGCTCAATCATTTATGCATAATGATGCACTTTGTGGCCTAGCTCAACTGCAAGTCCCGCTTTGCAAAACGAACAAGAACCAAAGATTGAGGTCAAAAATTGTACCGTTGTTGAAATATATTTTACCTCCTATTGCATTGATAACTCTTGTGGTGGCTCTCATAATTGTGTTGATGCGCCGAAAACAAAAGGTCAAATTATCAACAAATGCAGATTTGTCACCTCTGACATGGAGAAGAATTTCTTACCAAGAGCTTTTACAAGCAACAGATGGATTCAGCGAAGCCAACCTTCTTGGCGTTGGAAGTTTTGGTTCAGTATATAAAGGAACACTTTCAGATGGGATGATTATTGCCGTAAAGGTTTTAAATTTGCAATTAGAAAGAGCAATCAAGAGTTTTGATGTTGAATGTGAAGTGATATGCAATACTCGCCATCGAAATCTGATAAGAATCATCAGCAGTTGCACTAATAACATGGATTTCAGAGCCTTGGTACTAGAGTACATGCCTAATGGGAGCCTTAAGAAGTGGTTGTATTCGCACAACTATTGTTTGGACATCCTACAAAGGTTAAACATAATGATAGATATCGCATCAGCCTTGGAATATCTCCATCATGGTCATGCAACACCCATTGTTCACTGTGATTTGAAGCCTGATAATGTCCTACTTGACAAAGATATGATTGCAAATGTTGCTGATTTTGGTATTGCCAAACTCTTTGGTGAAGGGAATCTTATGGCACAAACCACAACCTTGGCAACAATTGGGTATATGGCACCAGGTGATGTTCTATGCTCGTTATCTCAATTGAGTTTCAAGCTTTCATATTTACTTTTTGCACTTGTATGGTCCTTTTCCTTAGAATTTATTTTCATTGTTGATTTGGTGCATAGAGTACGGAATGGAAGGAAGAGTATCAACAAGATGTGATGTCTATAGTTATGGTGTCTTGTTGATGGAAGTATTCACAAGGAAGAGGCCGACAGATGAAATGTTTGCCGGAGAGATGAGCTTGAAGCGTTGGGTGAAGGAAGCATTAGATGGTTCAATAATTGAAGTTGTGGACAGCAATCTGATTGGAACAGAGGATGAAAATTTCTCTGTGAAGGAGGAATGTGTATCATATATCTTGGGTTTGGCCCTGGATTGTTCAAGTGATAAACCCGCGGAAAGGATCGACATGAAAGAGGTCCTGGTTAGGCTTGAGAAAATTAAAATCTCCTTTTCAGAAAATATTGGAATGGTTGGCAAGAAAAAAGCTATGAATTAACAGGTATCAAGTTTAATACTGTAGTATTTTGTACTTTTTGCATTTTCTTTCCCTCCATTTTTTATACAGTGAACATCCATCTAAAAATTCTGAACATTAGTTTTGGAATTATTTTTCAGGAAGTGACAGAAATTTCTGGACTTCTTTTTATTGGACTGTTGGGTTATTTGTGGGGAAAAAAGTGAAAGGCCCCTCTGTCTGTGTATTTCCTGGCTTTTAGCCTTTTCAATGAAATTGCTTAACTTGGAAAAATAAAAATCAATGTCTGTTGTTGCATTGTTATTCCAAGATTTCTAAAAATTTACAGATTTTATTTTTAACATTTGTCCATACCTCATGAATAATTTTAAAAAACGATATGGGATAGATTTGGGCTGACATAGAAGCTGATGCCTGATGGAATGTCTTTTGTAATTGATTAAGGAAAATGATTTTAAAGTCAATGGAGTTGTAGAGAATTCCTTGACGGAATATTTTTAATTGATTAATGTATTTAAAATATAAAAAAATTGGACCTTTTACTTCTTTATCTCCTGCATAAATAATGAATTTTTTAAAGTTATGTATAGATAAAGCTATCCAACAATATAAAGGTTTTTTTTTTTTTTTTTTTATGCATAAATTGTTCATGAGGGTAGATTGGTTAAATTTATTAAATTGTAAGGTTAAAAAAGTATCCTAAACGGTTAAAGGGTAATTTGGTCAATTTTTCATGTAAATGAGTGTCTTTGTCCATTTTTGAACCTTCAAGGAGTGTCCATTTTTGAACCTTCAGGGGGTATCTTTGTTCAAAAAATAGGTAAATTTTATTTGAGTGTCCTTTTACCAAACCTCAAAAGGTGTGATTGTACTTTACCCAAAAAAAATTAAAATTAGTAGTTGCGCTTTTAACTTTCAACAATATATGACTTTGCAAGACTCTATGCAATAACTTTAATATTTTTAGTTACATTTTTAGTTATGCAACATCTTTTCGAAGTTATCCAACAAATAAAAATTTCATATACATTAGTGTGACAGAAAACTTTTATACAAAAAAGAATCAGAATTATCATTAAAAACAATAATGCATTCTTGTAGCTGAAATAAAAATGTTTAAAAAAATAATAATTTAGAAGTGATACCTAATAAGATAATATGAAACAATGTGCATACAAATTACAATGAAGGATATGTAGGTGCACGAGTAAAATAAAAGTACTAATAATAATAATAAATAAATTAAATAAGGATATGTAGGTGCACTAGTATAATAAAAGTACGAATAATAATAATAAATAAATAAAATAAGGAAAGAGCAAAGATCGATCTGACACGGTATGAATTTTAAAATTTACATACAAATAAAAGATATGCATGCAAGTTCTTACGAAGGATCTTTCCTGGTGTTGCGGTCTCATACTTTATAAAGGGTATAAATTGAACCACTATGTAAGACCCACCTACGATGGTCCACTCTCATCTGGGTATAAGTGGAAATTCCATCAATATGTGCTTTTTCAAGGTATCACTTGAGAAAAATATCAAAACATAATTATTATTTTTCTTTATTCTTCTTCTCAAGTTTATCGGCTGCCAAACTACGGTACTACTATTAGGTGTGCAAAAGCTAGTTTGAAAATCTTGTTTAATTTGTGGTAATATTTAACTTCATATGAGGTCATAAGTACTAATATGGGCATTTGTGTACATATATATATATATATATATATATATATATATATATATATTACTAGTATATATTAATAATATTATATTTCCATAATATCTCATTCACGCTAGGTGACCGGATTGTTGGACTTGCGAGGTCTTAGCAATTAAATTAGTAATAAAGTTAGTGGACCCAAATTTCAAATAATGTAATAGTACTATTGTATATTGGCGGTGGAAATTAAATTAGCAACTAAATTAGTAATAAAGTTAGTGGACCCAAATTTCAAATAATGTAACTAGTATTGTATATTGGCGGTGGCGATTAAATTAGTAATAAATTCAATGGACCCAAATTCCAAATTTTTTCTAGACCTTATACTAGTAGTTGTGACTCGTGAGACTGATTCAAAGTACGTGGCTTGACTTGAGCGACTGGTGTTTGCAAGAGGTCGGTCAATTGAGCAATGAATTTTTATTTTATTTTATTTTTGAGCAATGAATCACATTGAGCATTAGTGGCTCAAACACAATAGGATAAGTCCAATCTTTGTTGTGGTCACACTGGATGGGCTATCTGAGTGGCTAGACTTGTGCCAAGTCTTGACAATTATTATATAGCCATATAGGTGGAATATAATTCCAATCTTTGTTGTTGCATGTACGTAGTAATCTTGATTCGATAACTAAATGGGTGGTTGTGATCAATGAGCATATATTATCAACTATGCAACCTCATAATCACCAGATCATGACCATGATTTCAGCATCTTATATAACATCTTGCTAAGCCTTACTTGTTTGCTAAGTCGTCCATAAGTTCACATGAAACTCAAACTCAAACTCATGGAAAGGACTAGCTTCTTTTTTTCTATCGCATTGTTGATACACTCTTCCTGTTCTATGGTTTGCTTGGCTGCGTCCATTTTTCCAAACTCGACTACCGATCAATATGCTCTTCTTGCCTTCAGATCCCATATCACTTATGAACCTAAAGATGTATTGGCTAATAATTGGTCAACCACTAGCTCAGTTTGCAATTGGGTCGGTGTCTCCTGTGGTCTTGTCCACGTCCATAGTCCACTAGAGGGTCACAGCTTTGAATCTCTCTCTTATGGGTCTCCAAGGCACCATCGCTCCACATCTTGGAAATCTCTCATTTCTAGCATCACTTGACATCAGTTACAACAATCTAAACTGGTATATACCCGAAGAGTTGGCTCATTTGCGTCGATTAAAAGAAATCAATTTGGGGTTCAACAATTTCAATGGAGGGATACCATGATGGTTTGGGATTTTACATACTCCATAAGTTGATACTGTATAACAATAGTTTCATAGGTACTGTCCCAAAATCACTATGCAACATCTCGAAGCTACAGATACTGAATATCTCAAACAATTCTTTACATGGAAATATTCCGAAAGAGATTGGTAATCTTTATAAACTGGGAGTATTACTGTGGAGGGAAAAAACTCCACCAAATCACAACACACCACGTGGCAACAAAAGGGCAGCCCACAACAAAACTAAAACAAACCAGAAGCCTACAATCAGTTGGGGCCAACAGCAGAAGTCATATGCACATACCAGTCCAGCCCAATTAAGTGAAGGAAGATCCACTTAACATAAAAGCTTAATGGACGGTCCAGTCTCAACAAACCCAAAAGTCCGTAGCGTTTGCCATAATGATTTACACACGATCAGAAGGGATAAATACCCACGATCAAGAGTAAAGGCCAAAAAATGGCTCCATGTAAATCTCTGAAAAAAGCTTATAAATAGAGCCCAAATGAGAATGAAAGGGGATTGAATTCCACTGAAAATACTTCATCTATTGTCTGATTCATTTAAGCTTATTCTTGTTCTTGATTTTTTACCTTATTATTTTCCTTAAGTGGTCGGATGTAAAAATCTGCACTTACACTTTGGCGCCGTCTGTGGGAATTCGATACAGAAAGTCCATTCTCTATCTCTTGCATGCAGCATCACTTCAGAATGGGAACAGGACCAGACGCCGTATAACCGCAGCAGCAGGAGACCTTGCAGAAAATACATGAAGAGATGCAAGTGCAACTTGACATCCTTCGACAAGCCAACGAAGCCAGTATTGAACAAATCAATGCACTAAGACAAGCTCAGGAAGCCAACGTAATGCAAATCAATACCTTGCGTGAGGAAAACGAAAGACTTCAGAGAGACGCTCGACGGGATGATCACCAGATCGACCTACCGCCCGAACGGCTGAACGAAAATCTTCCTCCAAAGCTAGGCCCTGTAATCTCCAATAACCCTCCTCTCCAGCAGAGGGTCCCGCGGCAACAGCTCAATGAAACATTGGAAGACGCCAACGATACAGCAGGCCAATCCCGCATCATTAGAAGCTCAAGCATGGGAGGACCCCAAACCGCTAGGGTACACCCATCAGACGATGCTGATTTAGGCAGGAAGGAAGTACGGACCCCAGCGGCAGAACAACCCTCCTGAGGAAGTGACTTTATCACAAGGCTCCGAAAGGAAATGGATGAATGGATTAAAGGGCTGAAGGCCCAAACACCCGAGGACATGGCGAGGGAATTCACTGCGTCAATGGTGAAGACTCCTTTCACAGACGAGATAAAACGGGTCACAAGACCTAAGAAATTCACAATGCCAAAGTTCATCAAATTCAATGGGACTGGAGATCCCCTCCAGCACCTGAACCACTACACTCAGGAAATGACGCTGGAGGCGCACAACGATCTATTCATATGCAAAATATTTCCATCCAGTCTGACGGGGGTGGCCCTAGAGTGGTTCAAGAATCGCCCATGCAAGTCAATCCTAAACTTCTAATCGCTGTGCATCGCATTTTTGGCCCAGTATTGTGGAAATAAGAAGCAGAAAAAAACCTTTTCCAGTCTCTTCATGTCATACCTCTCGATTCTAGAGCCACGGGTGATCAAGTCCGAGCACAGATCCGAGGGATACCAAACAATTAATATGTAAATAAGCACGGAATACAAAAATGAATTAAGAATAAAATAATAAAGCTGAAAGAATTCTAAATTAAAAATCCTCATAATAATATAATTAAAATCCAATAATCGAAAACCTCCATTACTTAAACAACTCGGGAATCTATCAAGTGGACCCCTAATAAAATCCCAAACTGAAAAGGAAACAACTGAAACAAAATCCAAAGCAGTCCTACGTAGTCGAAGGAATGAGTGACTGTATTTGCCGAGCACGATCAAGCTCTAAGCCTGGAACTGACGAGCACCTGAAAAAATATAAGAGTGGGTCAGGCTCACATGCAATTTCTATCCTACTACAATCCATACAGAAACCCGATACATAGATACATCCTAGATAGCTCAACAATAACTAAAGTAGTCGATATGTGTATAAATACACACTATAGGACGTTCACTAGCCCACAGTTCTGTCTCAGCCTGAGTAGAAGGTAACATGCAAATCGCACGTAACGTGGTCATGTATACCTAGACCTACCAGGGAACAACAACTAGGTCCAGTTATCCATCCTAGGCGATATATGCACCCTAACCATGATCCTGAGACTCAAGCTCATATCACGGTACCGTAATCATATGTATAAATCCTTCCTAATATAGATATAAAACAAACATCCAATATGTCGTTCAACTGT